TTCATACACTTGACATAAAGTAACTCTTTGTGATATAAAAAATACTAAGGCAGTGGTCTCAAATGGATACTCTGCATGCAGCTCTCCAAGCAATAAAATGAAAATCACTTAAATCTTCGTATATAAATACCCATGCTGTACGATATCAACATAGATAACAAATACTAATTAATTACCTATGAAATCTTTAAAAAATTAGAAAACATAAACACAAGATTTAGATATTTATATAACCTCACCTTTTTATATACAGCATTTTCCTTTACAATCATAGATAAATATTTTAATATAAAACAGATAATGTCTATGGAATTTTAATACATGAGGAACCAACAGCAATTTGAGCTGGAGAGAAGTATAAATCATTTTATATATAAAAATGACATAGAAATTTGAAATATTAATTTTTGATATCTGACTAAACATCAAACAGCAGCATAACTATTCACAATTTCACCAAAAATATTTTTTAAATCTAAAGTACTCTCAAAAGTGTTATATTACATATTAATGAATGATTCAGGGTAAGTACATATTTAAAAAGAAAAGAGGAACACCCACACACAAACTGGCAGTAAAACGCTATTACTATTACTCATCTTGGGATGAGTGAGAGAAAGAATGATACACCTATGTCCAAAATTATCTTTACATGCATCAAATCACGTATTTCTCAGAAACTGTAGAATACAAATTTATGAATCTGTGTGAAGTGATATATTACACAATAACATAATTACAAACATAAAAATTTAAGATAACTGTATATGATGTAAAATTGCAGCATGAAACAACAAAAATGGTACTAATACGTTACAAGGAGAGTTAAGCATTAAAAAACTCAAATGGTCTTATTAATTTAATATGGAATGTGATGTTGCCTGACTTATACACACATATCATAAAGTATTCTCGTGCTGGCAATAACATAGTTAATCACAGTTTGGGAAATTGAGTTCTACTCCTCCAAAACTTTTATCATGACGTCAATAATTTGGTATTTCCGTTATGACTCATTATTATTCAGTAATTATTACATTATTATTCGGTAAGAATTTTTTCTTCGATATTTCATACTCAAAGGGTCGGTTTCCGGAACCTATAAACTGAATGTTTATATTTTGAGAGGCAACGCGAATTTCAGGAGTTGGCGGATTTTCGGTATTTGACTGAATATATATGACATAATAAAAGCAAGGAAAGGAAAAGCGGAAACACTGTTGATGCGTAGTAATGCTATATTGAAGAGGAAGTATTCTGATTGCATCGTAAGCTAATGTGTTGACATGATAAATAAAACTTGGCAGTCGAGGTGATTTTAATTCCTTTTTTATTTCCAATTGATATTATATGGCCACAGATCACTTGGCACCCTAATTGTGCCTGTTCAAGAACATTTTCATTATTGATATTATAGCAATAGGTAGCAGCGTAGCAAAATTGCATCCAAGCACAGCACAGACAGAAGCCGAAGTGCGTAGTTATGAAAGATGGAAGCACGCGAAGAGAAAAGTTTTGGTTTACAATGGTAGTTTCAGTTCCCATTATTACGTCATCAAGCTGCGCAGCCATAGAATGATCTTGAAAATGACACAACCCAGAGAATTTTATTGCGATTTTTAGAACAGAGAAAGGAAATTATGTTTTAACGGTTAGTTTAAATTCTAGCTTTGATTCACATTTTTTTTTACATAAAATATATAATGTATTATATATATATATATATGTAAGATAAAAAATAACTATATCAAACTGAATAGATGACTTGACAATTAAAAAAACAGCTGTGTGTCTATTTAAGATGATAGAATGGAAAAGAAAAGGTTTCAGACATGTCTGTGGGTTTGAACATATAATCTTATTTTCATAATAGAGCAAGCCTTGATATGCATAAACAGATTCCAAAAAGATGCTCTTGATTTATTCTAGCATCATTCATGGGTGAGAGATGCACACCACAATTTTGCACAGCTTACATCTTCATAGATAAAGGACTAAGTGGAAAGCAAACTCTTTGTGGCTAGCGGCAAACTGATGCTGGGGAAAAAGGGCTATGCAATAATAACAGTAGCATTTTAAGACTTGGTTTCTTTGTTTAAATTTTGAGTTCTGTGACTGGATGAGAGCCATCTACAATGCAGAAGGATTATATAGGCAAGCATGAACAAATTAATTTCAGAAGATGCAGTTCAGAAAAATTATTATAAACAATTTAGAACAGAAAGGGGACATAGCCAAATTATAATGGGAAATAAAATGGACTATTGCCAGATTAAAATTAAGAATTTTGAGTTACATATTTTATATCTTACATACAAATATGCATAAACTTTAAAGAAATGAAAGCAAACTCTTAACTTAAATTTTGCAGCAGCACCTTTATTCTTCATTCTAATTTGGGTATTTCCCCTTTCTGTTATAAAAATAGTAACTATTTATAATACATCACACTAAACTTCTCATTTCAAAATTAATCTATATCATACTATCTTACATATACCATTTAACCAATCAGATTAAAGATTTCAATTAAAAACTGAAGGTTTTTAACTTATCTCCCACATTTCTTCTGAATGCATATTCACTTTTCCACTTGCTTCACTCTTGCTAACACACACACTTGCTTCACTTTGCTAACACACACCAAGTTTACTCAATGTAAAACGTTTTTTAAAAACAAAGCACAATAGTGCCTATTTCATTTTTGTTGGATTAATTAAAAATGTGTGCTAACCATGACTAAAAAGGAAATAATTAATTTTGGTCACATTCAAAAGTGTCTTTGTCTTCATTATGCATATTACTATGTAACTAAATTCCTAAGTGCATATACATAGGCTATTCAGAAAGTAAGGAACGTTTTAGAATTAAAAAGAAAGTACAAGGGAAAAAAAAATACTATATACATCAGAAAGAGCGACTAAAATTCTACTTTTCTATATAGTCGCCATACAAATTGAGGCACATATCATAGCAGTGAACAAGCTTTAACATTCCTTCATCATTAAATTCTGCCGCCTGCGATCTCAGCCACTCAGCAATGCACACCTGCAGCTCCTTCTCGTCGTCAAAGCGCTGTGTTGCTAGCCAGTTCTTCATTCTTGGAAACAAGTGAAAATCACTAGGTGCAAGATTGGGACTATAAGGCAGATGATGGAAAACCTCCCATTTGAATGAATTAAGGAGTTCTTGAGTGCAGTTTGCTGTGTGAGGTCAAGGCATTGTCATGCAAAAATAAAATTTTGGATGTCAACTTTCCTCGGTGCTTGTTTTGAACTGCTCTCCTAAGGTTGCACAAAGTTTGACAGTACCACTCAGAGTTTATTGTGGCACCATGTTCGATAAAATCAATTAGAAGCACACCTTGCCAATCCCAACACACAGTCGCCATAATCTTCTTCGGTGGCAAGGTTTGCAAACATTTTCTTGGTCTTTTGGGGGAACTTGTGTGCCCCAACTGCATGGACTGTAATTTTGTCTCGCAATTCACTTGTCTCACCCACGTCTCATCACTAGTTACGATTTGATCCAGTAATGAATCACCCTGTCTGTCGTAGGCCACCAGAAATGTCAAAGCTGCCCCCATTCGCTGTCCTTTATGGTGGTCTGTAAGCAATTTCGGCACCCATCTTGCACAAAATTTGCAGTAGCCTAACTTTTGTGTGACAATTTCAAGCAACAAAGTCCGTGAAACTTGTGGAAAACAAAGTGAAAGCTCCGTTATTGTGAAACGGCAGTTTTCATGAATCTTTTCATCAACTCTAGCGATCAGTTCGGCAGTCACTATGCTAGGGCGTCCACTCTTCTCTTCCTTGGGAACGTCAGTTCGGCCATTTTTAAACTGAATGAACCATTTTTGGATTGAACTTTCATTGATTAAGTTATTTCCGTACACTTCACACACTTGTTGAAAAATTTCCATAGGGTTTAGATTTTTTGCCAACAAAAACCGTATCACAGACCGCACCTCACAACTGGCCGGATTTTCAACTGCAACGCACATTTTAAATTTGAATATCGGAAAAACGGGTAGCATGGAAATGTTCCTGTTTTAATGGCTGGAGGTGAGCAAGCAGACACCAAAATATACGTGACGTTAGACACGTTAGACGTTAGGCCTAGCGACGTTAGACAGAAATGTTCCTTATTTTCTGAATAGCCCTCGTATATATATATATGAGGGGCTTTTTTTAAACACTTATCATACTTTAGAACTACATTTTGAATACCCTCTTCATAGAAATTTGCTGCCTGCTCTGATAACTAAGAGGTCATGGCCGTTTTCACGTCCTAGGATAGACACTTCAGGAAATCGTTTGAAAGAGTGCTTATGGTGAAGCATCTGTTCTCAACTTTTGCTTCAACTGAAACCATCATATTGTCTGTAATCACAGATGGGAGACCGCAGTGAGACTCATCATGGACATTGTGATGGCCATCTTTGAAGTCTCTGACCCACTTACGCACTTTCCCTTCACTCATGCCAGTTGCTCCGTAAACTTCAAAAATCTGTCAGTGAATGTCTGCAGTAGACAAGTTTCTTGTCAACAAAAAACGTATCACTGATCATACCTTGCACGGGATAGGCGATTCGATAATCTTGAACATTTTAAAGACACAGAACAGACCATACAGATTACCTACACAGCTGCTACTGAGTACAGTTGTTTCCAAGGAATGCCGGGACATGATGCAAGCACTCGTTGCTGCCTGCGCGACATGTACATAGACTCCAACCTTCAGCAAACCTTGTCAGTAGTCAACGCGCGAACGACATTTTTACAACTTTGAAAATGTGCGCGTAGCGTATGTTGTAATTAACCATTCATTAATTTTAAATTAATAATTAATTGTAATCAATTTTATTACATTTAAAATCCATATACATATAAAACTGAATAATTAAAATATACCTTGTAAATTATATGCACATTTAATTAGAAATTTTCTTTAACTCCTCAAGCATTCACTAATAAAAGTACTTCAAATCACTACTAATCATATGAAAAAATCAGAAGCTATAATCATATCTTTATTCTGGATATGATTTCTACAGGGAAATAAAATTTAAATAACCACGAATGATACATATAAGTATTAAACAAAATACGCATAATTTATGAATGCAAAGATTTATATGTAGCATGCTTAGCAAGCTTAATTTCTGATTTTGAGAATGTTTTTTTTATAATAACACAGTTCTTCATTTGCCTGCATATTTATTTTTTCAATCAAAACTTCAAGAGTTTTTAAGACCTAAATTTGGTCGAAATTCCGTCTGATTTTTTTTAACAATAAAAAATTCTTTCGCAGCTGCATTTGAATGAGGTATTATTAAGACAGCAAGCATTACAGAAGGCAATACTTTGTATTTAAATACACCCATTCATATTTTTTTAATTTGGCAATTTCTCCCCATGCTATATCAATACGCAAATCTACAATTTCTTTCAAATCATCTACTTGATACATGGAAAATTCAATTTCTACTTGATTAAGACATTTTTCATCAATAATGGATGGAAAAGTATTCATCAAGTAAAGAACAGATGAAAATGAGACTTCAGTTCTCAAGTTGATGTCAGCAACTTCAGCATGTTTTAGAAATGGATCACTCAGTGGAAATTTATCAATTATATATGAACATGCAGTTACAAAAAAAGCTCGCACAGAATTGAAAAATGATTTCACTTTTCACTTTCATTCAACTTGGCATTTTTTAAATATAGTCCTTGTTTCCGCACCATCACTAAATTTTCATTTTCTTTTTGTTTACTATACTTCTGAAATGGAATAGACGTTAGAGTAACATCTTCATTTTCTTTAGAAATTACTGATGGTTTTACGAATCTAACAAATAATTCATTAAAGTTCAAAAAGTTCTCTTCTCAATTTATGTATATAAGGAGCTTGTTGTTGCAAATTAATATTTACTGTTATAAACAAAGGCAAAGTTTTTCAAAATAACAAGTACAATTTTGGTGGTCGGTGACTGTAAAATTTTTTTAATGTTTTTGCAATCTCTTTCCTTCATTCTCACTGTTATCTGGTTTATCTCCAAAAAAATTTATCACAGCATCCCACTGTTCCAAAATCCTTGTTATAGATTCTAAAAGAGACAACCATCTCGTACTGCAATATTTCCAAATTTTATGAGATTTTGCATTCTGTCCCCAAAATTTGTTGAGCAACTTTGAAGCTATGCTTCCATTTCGAACTTTTCTCCAAGTAAAAATATATATCTATTATCAACATTTCAATTTCTGAGCCAATTAATTTTTCAGTAGCTTTTTTTTTGCAGCTATATGCAAGAGGTGGCACGGACAACCTCGGGTGATTATACTTGGTTGATGCATTTTTGATAATGATGCTACACCTTTAAACTTTCCAATCATATTACTAGCATTATCTGAAGAAAATGATAAGCAATTTTTCCATTCTAACCTTTGTTTTTAAAGTTTTTCATTTATACAATTAAAAATACCTTCTCCTGTATTATTCGTGCATTCTAAAATAGAAATCAATGAAGTAATTATCACTCCCTTTTCTTTACTGTAGTATGTTATAACCAATGGGTACAGTTTTGTTATCATTGTTATCATTACTTCCATCATTACTTAGAGAAAATGATGTACTGCACACTGATTTTATAATATCAGCAACAGTATTTTCTGCAAGCGTTTTCACAATAGCAGCAGTTTTGGTATGACCGCAGCTAAATTTTTTTGCTATGGCAAATCCGGAAACATTGCTTTGAAAGCTCTTTGGAATTGATCCGAAACAGAAAGCGGTAGATTATGTTCAATTAAAAATGAACAAAATAGCATTCGGCTTTTATAGGATCTGTTTCATCATATTTTATAAGAAATTTGTTATTTTTTAGAATTTACGGTGCCAAGTCTATATGCTTTTGAGAAAACACATGCCGTTTACAGTCATCTTTTCCGCCATGAGCACTGAGAAGTCTTTGTTGCATACACTGCAGTGCGTGATTCACAGAAATTTCAGACGCTTTAATGCATGGAAATTCTGAAGAATATGAATCTTTAAACTTTTTGATTTGATAATTTTGGCTTCTTCTTCGTTCGAGGCAGCATTATGATTAAAATCTTTCACCTGATCACAGTTCACAAGACACACACTAAGCTCTCGCCGTAAACTACACAATGCAGCCGAATGCAGCCTAACACGCATCAGCGAGGAACCTGGGAGACAGACAATTGGTGGAACTATTGATAAGTCGTTAACGGTTGGAGTTACTGATCTACGATTGGCTAATTCTTCAAAACTAAGAACGCACTCAACACGTGATATATGATAACATGAGTATTCAGCCAATCATCGGATGAATTAGTTGGTTCTCTTTCGCGTACTGGTTCTTCTGCTCTTGTTTCTGTAAACCGTAGTTTTTTCCATATTTTTCGTAGCTCGTAGTTTTTCATGAATTTCCATACAAACTATGGAGAATCCGTAGTAGTTGGAGTCTATGCATGTATTTTGTGTATACCACAAGACAGCCCTTACTTAAAAAATATGCCACGTATACATATATATATATATGCAAACTATAGTGTGTGTGTGTATAGTATACATATACCTAAAGAGAGACACATATTATTTTAGTGTTTCTTCTGCCATAACTAGTTACTTTATACTGCATATGTAACTAATAAATACTCATTGATGCAAGAAAAGTGGAAATAATTTTAAATATCAAATATAGATTACACAGTTTAGATTACACAGTTTGACAAAGTGCTGAGCAAACATTTTATTTAACAGAAAGACCTTCAGAAGTAAATATCTAAAAACATCCAAATCTTTCTCATCTTTTTTGGGGGGAAGGGGGACGAACAACACTTTACTCTTTTCCCTTACCGATTTGAAAACAAAGTTTGATTGATATCTCTCGTCTTCAATGTATAAATGTAGCCCAATTATATTCTTGCCAACTTAAAATCACAGATTTTGCTTTAAGCTGAAGGTATAACATACACAGAGAAGCATTAATAACACAGACAATATAAAATTATTTGAACCTTATCAAGGATGTTCTTTTATACTATTTAATGATTCATTATAACCAGATTTAAAATGTTCTAGAAGAGAGTAAGTTAACTTAGGTGGGAAGATGTTAGAAACTGCACCTTTACATTTCCCCATCTAATATGTGAGGAAGAATAAAAACAGTCTTGTACTTTTAATTATATTTCACTATGTTTTGGTGGCTACAGGTAAAATTCTTCTTAGTTCAAAGAATTTTAGAACAATGTTTTGTTTTTGGTTAAGGTTTTGCGACTAATGCTTATCAAGAGCAAGAGAGTTTTATTTTTATAGTAATTTTTTAGACGCACTGTAGAGAAAGTACACTAGAAAAATATTAAAGACTCATTTCTAAAATAATGCGATTTTTACGATAATTTCTAGAAATGTAATATTTTCATCTGAGGAGATCTAAAAGATTCTTGTTTGCGATTATCTTCAAATAAATGTTTGTTTCATGAATGAAATGTTGCTTCGATGTCTTTACTCTGATATTGGACATCAGTAGCAATGTTAAAAACAACAACATAAAACATTGTAGTTTTAAGCAAAATAAAAGGATCTTTGTATAATTATTAATATCTTTTACTGAATAATACATATACTAAGGTAATGTATGCAGTACTGAGCATATTTTATTGGATAATATATGCATAAGGAAATATGCGCTAATTGGAGCATCTGTTAATTTCTCAAAATAGGAAATAATCTAATAAACACTAATTTTCTTGACAAAAAAATTCAATGCAAAGAATCATTTTCAGTACATAATAAAATTATGAGAAGCAAGACATATATGTAATTTTTGCAAAATGATCAGAGAATCCAAATATCATCAGAAAGGACAGCCAAGATAATGATATGGATGATAGCCAAGAAGATGATAGTGATAAAGGCAATTATTTGCTAAACAAACTGGGAAACACTCAAGGGAAAAGACTGCTTCCGTACATCCACAGAAATCAGCCATATCATATTACAGTTGGTGCTCTCACAAAACTGCACCATATTATTGGGCTATGATAAACAATTTCACAACTTGAACTGTGGCTTTTTTTCATCTCAGGTGATGAACTAACATGTCAAGAGATGTACATAACTATAAATCATCTCATATCTTCTACTTTTACAATATGCAGCATACACTGTTATTCAAAACTATAAAAAGACTTTTTTTGTATATACCTACACTACATCATGAGTACTTATTTAAATCTAAATAACCTAACTTTTTATATAATTACATGTGTGTATATGATTCCATCTGCACTTCTAGTGTTCATCTAATTTTCTTTTAATGTTCTAATTTAACTCATTTTAGATATAAAATACATCTGCCAGGCTGGCAACAATTTTGTACTGTTAATACCAAAGCAAGAACCTACTCCAGCATAGTTCTGTTCTGTTCTGCATAATATATATACTAAAATAATATATAACTATATAATTTTCTGCTTATTAATTTTAATATATTGTAATCAATTGTAATATTAAAATCAATACATAGAAAATTATTAAAAGCAATAAAATAATAAATATATAAAATGATCATTATGACATTCAGGAATACTTACAGGTCTCAAAGGAATATAGACAGGAACACCCCCAGCCATTCTCGTCATAGGTTCATAACAATCAAAAAAAGGTTCAATAATGATAACCTAAAATATAAAAATGAAAAAAATAAGAAAACTCAAAATTAAAGTTTAATTATATTTAAAAGAAAATTTTAATTTTGGTACTTTCTGACTACCTGACTTAACCCAAAAACTGACTGATACTGTCTTTTTTAAATTTGAATAGCTTTTCATTTTTCCTGGTCCTTCAGTTCAAGATAACGCAGCACAACAAGAAACATCTATTAACTATTAATTATGCCTATTTTTAACCATTACTAGACAGAGAACATTGAAATTACAATTTAGAGTACATTCACTAAGAGATTTTAATTCTCTCTTGCCACTTCTATTGGATCTGCAATAAGAATGGCCTCAACATTAAATCTTAGATGATCAGCTATTAATAAATTGTTTCATTAATAAATCTCGCTTGTCATTCCTATTACTTCTTGCTCTTGAATTTATATACTGCAAGCTGAATTACTGTTCAATAATACCCAATAATAAAGCACACTTACAAACAATTTATTACCTTTACAAAGAAATAAAATATTGATATACTGTAGAATCATTAGGTTATTTTGAAGCAGGAGCAATAAAAAATAAGCAATGCCCTTGCCGGGACTTGAACCTGGACTTCTGGAATATGCACCAAGTGTGCTACAATTACACCATGAAGGCATGCAGAAAGGAGGGAAAAAATACCTTATATATTTCCCCTTTTAAAAAGCGACTGGAGATTAGAGGACCCAGTTGCCAAATCCTGGTATTAAGAGTCACCATCCACTACCTTTCAGTTTGGGCACCCCTGCAGAGTCATTAGGTTTTTTTGAAGAAGGAGGACATGAAAAATGAGTAATGTTCTCACCAGGACCTCTCGAATAAGTGATGAGATGAGTGTAAGACCACAAAGGCATGCAGAAAGGAGGTAGAAAATAACCCCATAATACCTATAAGAAGGCATTCTACATGGGAACTGAAAAGACAGATCATACATGCTGCCACAAGGTTCTGAGACACTAACTTGCAGAATGTATACAGACAGAAATGATACTGTCAAATACAGGGTGATTATAATTAAAGTTTAAGTTTCAAAACGCTATAAAAAAAGAACCACTCATGAAAATGACGTCAAATTTGAAAGGAATGTTATTGAAGAAGGCGGAAAGCGTATGGCAGAAGAAAAAATGTAGTTTCAAAAGTTAGCAACAGATGGCGCTGCAAGCGGAAGAAGACGTAAATTAAAATGTCAGTTAAATTTCAGTGTTATAAAGCCGCCAGGTACCAGGCTGTTCCTCATTTCGCGATCTCAGACAGGCGTTCGCCATGGGTGTTTTACTGCAGGACCGTGCTCTACTAATAAAGCTGTATTACTAGAAGTGATGATGATGCAAGAGTAGCTATGCAAAAATTCAGGACACTGAAGGGTATAAAAGAAGGTGTTGGTCCAATGAGTGTTGTGAATCTAAAGAAAATGATGCAAAAATTTAAAATGACAGGTTTGTTTGATGTGCAATCTGGTAGAGGGAGAAAATGAGTGCATTCAACGGTAGTTGAAGAAGTAGCCAGAGCATTACAGGAGGGCTCGGCCGGCAGTGTGCAAGCGTGCAGTGCACGAGGAAGTGCCCGAACATTGGACAGGCCTACGAGCGTGGTGCTGCAAATTGTATGGAACATCCTGCAATGCTATCCGTACAAAATTTGCCATGTGCAGGAATTGCTTCCGTCTGACCTGGACAGCTAAGGGAGACGTTTGCGTTAGAATTCAGAAGTGGATAATGAATGGCCGTGGAAAATTTTGTGGACAGATACCATAGTCCATTTCCATCTGACAGGGCATACGTGAATACCCAGAATTGTTGAATATGGGCAATAGAAAATCCACTGGCAACCGCACCCCGTACCACTTCATCCTGAAAAGGTCACGGTGTGGTGCGGCTTTACGGACATCATTCGTCCTACAGCCATATTTTTTCGAGCAGACGGGTGCTTCCTGATCCTGTTACCGCAACCGTCACTGGTCAGAGGTTTACATCTCTTCCAGCTCTGCAACAGCGTGGATGTGTCGATGAAATAATTTTTATACACGATGGCATTCCTCCGTACATCCTCCGCACATTGCATATCCCTGTGAAGCAGCTGCTGTGGTGCACCATTTCGGAAATGCTCGAATTATCAGCCGTCATTTCCCTACAGCCTGGCCGTCCCGATCGCCTGATCTTACTCCGTGTGATTTCTGGCTGTGGGGATATCTGAAGGATGTTGTGTTCCATGCTCCAATTGCAAATTTAGCGGAATTAAAGGAACGCATTTCGCAAACATTCTGAACATCACCCCGGAGACACTGCGATCCGTTGTGGAACATGCTGTTTGTCGCTTTCAACTTGTTGCACACAACGGTGGACACCATATTGAACATGTTTTTTGCGACAGTTTTGAACTTCTTTGATGAATGTTCTTATGCGGTATGCCGCCGCAAACTCTTGAAACCAACCGATTTGTCCCTTCCGATGTGATATTACAGTCATGCAAAAAAATTATTCAACAACATTCTAATTTGTCAATGCGTTTTAATGTGTAACTTCCACCTTAGCCGTTGTTTTACGAAACATTTCTCGTTTCTCGTCATGATTCTGCCGCTTACAGCGCCATCTGTTGCTAACTTTTGAAACTAAATTTTTTCTTCTGCCATACTCGTTCCGCCTTCTTCAATAACATTCCTTTCAAATTTCACATCATTTTCATCAGTGGTTCTTTTTTTATAGAGTTTTGAAACTTAAACTTTAATTATAATCACCCTGTACATGGCTACAACACATTAAGTATCAAAATCTTAATATTTAAGAACACCATAAAACTTAACTAAAGTTTTTTTTAACCATTTAAGGTCCCTTTATAAAAAAATTACAGTATTTTTTTATTATCCACATGCCCACCAGAAAGTTGTAATTGAAAAAGTATTTATGAGGCAAAGCAGTAGGTCAGTAAATAGCTACGTGACATCTTATGATGTTGCCACATAAGATAGATTTACAGAAATATTTATTTGACACCCCAAGTATATACATATATGACTGATGTGCAATGTAGAAATTATACAAAGTCGAGTTTGTTCAACTCTGATTGTTTTAAAGCAAAAACAGACCATTATGTGCATGGGAATGAAAACAACACAAAAAAGAAAAGATTTCTTAAAAAAATTAAGTGTTTTATTAATGATATTTCTTGCTGCTTAAATTTATTGACTGATTGCAGCACTACACATTAGTAAATTATATTATCCAATATATCTAAGGAAGTGACAGCAATGCAATAAATTTCCTGCAATTTCTGACATTTTGATTTTTAATGCAGATTATGATAACTGTTTTAACCAAAAGTTTAACTTTCTAACAACTGCTAATCATTCAGATAGGTAAAAAATAAGGAAAGCCATTCCATGATTCTGTGGCAGTAACAAATATGTTACAGCTCCCAGCTACTTTATTTGTAATTATTTGAATTTACTACTTGTAAAGGAATAGATATCTAGAAAATGACATAAAATGTTTACGAATAAATAAACAATTCTACACTATTTTTATAAAACTATATGAAAATATATAAGCAACATTATTGCCATATTAATCATCACAATTTATGATTTAACAAGCATTTAAAACATTTAAAGATGAGCGAACAAGGTAATTCCTTTAAAACTTACAAGTATAAAAATATATAATAATAATACTGTTAGAATAATGTTAATAAACTGCTTATGCCACTCAGATGGTATAGTGGTTACTACTGTGGTACCTCGGTAAGGGCTCGGGGTTTGAATCCCGGAGAAGGCATGGATGTTTGTAAATGTATACTGTCTGTGCGGCATGGGGGCACTCTAAATATATGGCAAGCCGAAAGTCCTCTCGAGAAGTTGGTAGGAAAAGAATGGTGGGAGACCCTTGGATCCACCCCCCCCCCATAAAAACTGGGGACGGAATAAGTGAAATTGTACTGTCACTTGCATGCTGCTCAAGGCTCTTGCCGACGACAGGCACAATCTTGCACTCCTTGGCATGATAAATTTCATGGGCTTGTTCTGATACTACTGTCAGACAAGTGAGATAAATCACAAGAACATAAACTGCTTATTTTTTTTAAAACGCAAATGGTTCCAATCATTTCTGAAATCATTAAGAGCACACTAAATATAGTAGTTTATTTAGCAAACCGTATTGTACAAAATGAAATATTAACTATAAAACGACATACAAATCTTATATGATGATAAATAGTTATATTATTTGAGATTAATATTTTGTTATGGAAAGTTTGACAATTCTGTTATTAGCAAATAACAGCAATTTAAAAGTACTTTAAAAATAATAATTATTACAAATAGCCACATGAAAGCTTACATAACGATTACAAATACAGTGGAACATCGAGATACAAGTTTAATTCGTTCCAGCATTGAGCTCGTATAGCGAATTTCTCGTATCTAGAAACAAACTTCCCCATTGAAAATTATGGAAATCCAGTTAATCCGTTCCGACCCCCAAAAATATCAATATAAAAATCAGTTTTTCTAATAAATAACACTGGTAAATAATATAACCATAGTTTACCTTTATGACAGTTTCCACCAACACGGACCGTTGAACTGCTTCTCATTAATCCACACCAACAACAGCTTCTCAATATCTTCTAGGAGTTTTGGATGGTGCTAATGGTAACTCCTATAGCTATTTCAGAACACTGAAAATCATAGATGTTGAAAGGCTGTAAGTCTTCACGAATTCTGTCACACTTACACCACGCTTGTTTATCTACGATTTCTTTCTTAATTTCAACGGCCGTGGCTTCCTTATTTTTCTTTGCAGCACTATCTGAGGCAACAATCTTCTTGGAAGGCATCATGAAATAATTATTTTCACAATTGACTCACAAGCGCACAAACACATAGATCAAAGAATACCAAGGGGATTTCCCGAGTTGAGCCGGATCGAGAAATGGCGCCACGTGCACCAACAGTCTGGCTCATTGCTCGTATTTAGAGAAATTTTTCGCTCATACTTTCCTCGTACTTCGAATTTCTCGTACACAGAGATGCTCATATCTCGAAGTTATACTGTAGTCAAAATTACCAACAGCATATCAGAAAGAAACTTGTAAAAGAAAATAAATATGTATGCATAAATAAGGGAAATGTATTAAAAATGAGAAACAAAACAACATACTTCATCTCCAGGATTTACAAGGCCAAGTATGGAACAATATATTGCTTCATAAGCTCCAACTGTAACAAGAATTTCCTTCTGAGGGTTGATATTTTTTCCCAGTAACTGAGAATATAACTTTGACAAAGCATTAACTAGTCTAGGGTGACCCTAAAAATAAATAAAATAATTCTTAATCATACTTGGAAACTAAATTTAAAACATAATTCAATTAATTTAATTTTACACAAAGTTTATCATTTATTACATTCTAACCCTCACAAGTTGAACAATGAATAATTTGGAACCAATTTCTCAACAACAATTTTAGGTTTCTGGTAGCTGACACTACTATTTGTGGATACAAACTGCTGAATTAACTGTTTCTCAGTGTTTTTAACACTTCTGGTAAAATTCATGCACAAACTGTTGAAAGCCTGTCAGACTTTGCTAATGAACTAAATACAAATCAACAAGGTATGTTTTGCCTTAATAATGAATCTTATATTGTGGAGTTCATGTGGCAAAAGTTTTGAGATGAGGAAACACTTCTGATGCTATATTAAAAGAAGCTGTGGAAACATAGCAGAATAGAAGTCCACGAGAGCAAAGAACTTAGGAATAACCCAAGCACCAACTTGGTATTTAAAAAAAATTGGGACCATAATAATAAGGAAGTATCCAATAGTCTTCAAACAAATTAAAAAAATTCTATAACACAAAAAATTTTGAGTTCTAATTTGTGAAATGCTCATGCTTGGTTAAAGGCATCATTTTTGAGAAAATGCACATATACCAGGTACATAAGATAATGAATAGATGCCAATGATATAGCTAGAGTGAGCAGAGAGGGTCGCCTGCCTCAAATGCACATTTTAAAGGATGGTACTTCTGACATGAAACACAGTTTTATTCTATTAACATGTTCATCACATACCCATATATAATTGCCTATTTGCTGCTCTTTTTTACTAATGTCATTGTCTGAAAACTGAGAGAGAGAAAATTATGCGAATACTTTTATTTTAAAAAAATGCAGTTACACTTAGACTATAACAAATGAAAAGTAGTCATGAATAACTAAACTACAATAATATTATTTATTTTAAAGAAAACTACTTTCAATAAGAATACATACTAATAATATCATTATAGTTTCTTAATAAAATAACAACATTTCCACTTTTTTGGCATTCTGATTCTCGCCTGCTCTTATTTTGCTCATTGCTACTCTCTAGGCCTCTAATAATTCAATGTAGCTGTAACTGTTGTCTGTATTGTCTACCATGATTTGCAGTTCATCACCATTGACACCACAGTCATCGATTTCATTACCATTCGGGCTATCTTGCCCCATGTAACAATTTTCAGAACCATCAAGAGATCTCTGTTTTCTTGAAGATCTTTACTATCATTGTTTACCTGTCAAAGCCCATACACCAAAATCCATAAGCAAATCACTTAAGATGAAAACAACAACTATGTGGACTAATTCATTTTAAAATTTAAGTAATCTCATTTTCTGAATGAATACTTAAAAATTGTTCAGAACTTTGTGCTGAAATCCTAAGGAGGAAAAACTGAGTAAATATGTTAATTAATTTTTAACAATTACATTTGCAACTGAAAGAAATAAAAATTTAAACTCCAGATTTACAAAAGAATTACAGTAAAAGCTCAACTATTTGGGAACTCTGGAAATACTAAATTCTGGAAAGATGAGCATACAAAAAATAGAACTTGCATTAGCAAAAACCTAATCAATGGGAAAAATTTCTGCTCTAAAATTATAAAAATAATCATCTTATTTGTTACAATTATCAAAACATTTAAAATTATATTAGATTTTGAAAAAAAGTGCATTTTAGACACTAAAGCCGATTTATTTCATAGAGTTTAACTATTAAAGTAAAACATCTGATCCGATTATGAAATCCTGTTGAATATGAAAGTTGGTAGAACTTTCATTAATCATTTCAGCAAAAGTTTAAATGAACATATAATCTTTTACTTACTTAAATAATAAAGAGTTATAGCATATAAAAACTTAAATTGCTTATCATATTTTTTCACATTACATCACCATTGTTCATCCATTTTTAAAGTCATGCATCAAGGTATTTGTTGATGCCTGGAGACTGTAACTTTGAAAATATTCCACTTAATGCAATCCCACATATTAATCCTTCTTTAAAAAAATTAAACTGTCTTATTGAGAATTAATCAAATTTATATTAAAGCAAAGCGAATATGTTAAGATTGTGTTCCAACATCACGCTTATACATTACTGGTGGTAAACACACTGCTTGGCAACAATTAATACATGTTAACAGAATTAAATGCTCTATAATTGCATTAACAAATCTCTCATTTACTAAACTTTTCAGGCAAAATTTTTTTTCTAAAATTAAAAAAATATTCTGATTACTTGAGCTTTCTGGTTAGTTGAATGCTGGATAGCTGCACTTTTACTGTACCTGCAATTTTCTAAATGAGTAACTTGCATTTATAAAATCTTACTATATATTCACACCAACATCTGAGTAATGTAAAATATTTTAATAATTCTTCTGACAAATTTATTAATAGCAAAGCAAGAAAACAATAGTTAAGAACGGTGGAATATAAGGTTTCACTTTAGAAACACACATAGGATATCAACTTACTTTCTAATACATCATTTTTTATAGTTTTTTTTGTTTACTGAGAAAGGCAGCAAATTCAGGGACCACCTTAAGCAAAAAAAGTTCCAGCTATGCCACCTTATATTTTTTAGTCAACTTAAAAAAATTAAAACGTAGCAGCTAACAGCATGAGGATAACACAAATACATAAATGTTTCAGCACTTTTGGAAATAAAATTTCACTTACAAACCCTCTTGTGTATTGATTCAGAAGAACATTAGGGCCAATAGCTGCATCACTGAGTGCTTTTGCTACATGTGCTGGAGCTGCAAAATCAGGAAATCCTTGACCAAGATTTACAGGTTTATAATCAAGAGCCAACTGAATAAATTCCACCCTATAAATGTATTTTATTTAACACAAGTACAGTACTAGAAGCATATTTTACATTACAAGAATTATTCTTCGAATCTATGCATTTTTACAATCAGATTTAAAGACACCTGAAAAAGAATTTCTCATTTGCATTTCGAAGTGACTGACAGGATGGTAATTTTTTAAGCATATACTAAAGATAAGTGTAAAATAAGCCTAGGCAAAGTACATAAATGCAATTCTTAAATTTTACTTAAATTCAATTCTTTCAGTTATGAATCTGGTTTTGGGACAAATAGAGAACTTACAATTTCTATCTGACCTAAACAATGACACCTTTTCTATCTGATAATATTGCCATTAATGACTGAAATACCAGACCAAAAATATATTACTAGTATTTGCTATTTTTTTAAATGTTGAACTAGAATATCAGTATTAGAATTTTAAAAAGAAAGGTACAAACAGTTGTCTCTTTGCCATATTTATTACAGTTGTCTCTTTGCCATATTTATTTGTTTTATACAAAAAATGCATAAACTATTAAAATATAAATAATTTTAGTTATGTACAAATACAAAATAAAGAAACATATGTTATAATCAAATATTAAAAGAGCAGTAAAATAATAATTTATAATATAGGAACAAAAAATGTAAAATTAAAAATAAACCAATACAGGATTACAATACAGTAAAGTAAGAAAACATACAATATTAACAATTAAGAAGAGTACATAAAATAATATAAATATCATATAAAAATCTTGTTGCATAATCTATTGTATAATAATTATTAATAGAAAAAACTAATTTATTAATTGCATATTTTTTAAATGTAACCATAAAAAAACACAATGCTTCTACTGAACTACTATTAAGACTGGAACATATTTTGTGCACAAATTACCAGCAGCTGAAAATGCTCTTTTTCTGCACCCATGCTGGTTGAGGTGGTACTATTAATAATGAGTGATATACTTAGTCTAAATAGTTGCCTTGAAGTCTTTGATCATCTCATAAATCGGGGGCTCGAATGATGGTTTTGCATAAATCTATTTTTTATATTACTTTTGTATTATTCTTTGCGGCATTTCTTTTATTTATAGCTAACCGTAATTTCTTATAATGCAAAAATTCTGTTCTGATATTAATATCAACATCACCTTCAACAAATTCCTCTGTTTAGGTTTGAGTTTGCTTTTTATAAATGTTTGGAAGATCATCGCATAGCAATAGATACAAGGCTACAGTAAAGTGATGATGAAAAAAATCAAATAGTTCAGTAAAAGCTCGCTGGTACAGTTGAGTCACATGATGTGAGATTACATTTCATACATGGTCTATGCCTAACCTTGACATTATGTAAAGATAGGATATTGGAATGGAAGTGAGACAGAAAATGACTGATGATGGTACATTTGGATTGATAAAAGAAATATGCATTTCAAATAACAGCAGATACCCAATAAGTTAAATTTTTTAATAATAAAAAAAAATCATTATTTACAGCTAATACCCAAAATACCCGATTTTACTTCAGCAAATCCTGGTTTCACAAAATTTAAAAATAGGACAAAATTCCAATGTTTGATATACCGATGTACTGTACTGCAATCACTATATGCCATGTTTATATGTCATCTTAATAGATTTAAAGTTATAATTTAAAACACAGAAATTTTTGAAAACTGAAATCAGTTTTGATAATCCTAAATCTCGGACAAAGGAAATTTCTGAACTAAATCAAAAAACAGCTTTAAGTTCATCTTCTAAACATTTCCGCAGGACAAAAATATCAACAAATTTCTTCCAAAAGATGGATTTCGAGGGAGAATATAGAAAAAAATCACATTTTTCTCAGGTTGCATGTAAATGTGTTACATGTAAAAATGTTATTATGTATATATTACAAGAAAAATTATTCTCACCAAACACTCTCTTGCATGCCTTCAAGTCGCTTGGCAGGGCCATGAGAAGTCATATTTCTCTGAAATGGAAAATAATATCTGTAGTATACTAAATGAAATATAATATCAAATTATCTTTACAGTTCTTAAAATTATACATAAAAGCAAATTTAGAATTAATGACAAGTAAACAACGTATAAGAATCTTCTCCCCCTCCCCCCAATTCTATTCCTCATATTAAAGTCCTTCACTTTCAGATTGATGTAAAATGATTGCATTGACCTATCATGCTTTCTAAAGAATAAACCTGGAACTCATTACTGATAGTTTCAGAAAGCAAATATTAATATGAATGAAAACTTAAGTTTTGAAAAATTAAACCTTAATGCTAAATAAATAATTAAAGATAGATGTAAATTGTCTTCATAATTTGAGATCTTACTTTATTTTGAAAGTATGGTGAAATAGTAACAGCTTGTCCTATAACAGAATGAGATCTGACAGGTTTATGAAACTTTGTCAAGCTATTTTCTAAAGTCCATAATCTTTTCATGTGCCTTATCATCTTTCAAGTAATCTATAAATAGCATTGATAACACTAAAAAAGATAATTTAAAATAAATAAAAGTAACTTTGAACTATTTCAAATGAATAATACAAAGCATTAGAACAAGTCTTATTCTAACAATAAACAGAATAATTCTAAAAATTTATAACATATGAGGAATTTTTGCAAAAATATAAAATAATGATAAATAGTATGCAAATCACACAAGTCTAGACAGACATTTATGAAAGGAATTACACATCAAATCATTAGCATTTAATATTATAAAGTCACTCATTTTTTCCACAAGAAACTCAGAAAAATAAATAACAGCTAAAGTAAATCATATAAATAACGATGAATTGTCCCAGAGTTAGGCACCCGGAAAAGTTGTGGCCTGAAGCTTAAATGATACCAGTGATTATAATTATGGGGTGGGCGGAAACTATTAGAAAAGGCTCAGAGAAGATACACGACAGAAGTCATTACACTGATTTGATGTTGCAAAGAAAATAAAATTTCTAAAACTGAATTATATAGTTATTTATGGTTATTTCACTACAATTTTAATTGCATTTGCGTAGATTACATCTCACGTTTTCCTCAAATATAACTCAGAGCACTGGTGTATATATATTATAAAAATACTGCAATGAAAGATTTTTAAAAATACTAATTAGTACCTAATTATGGAACCATACGTTTACAAAATATGGATCAAATACATATATAATATTTATTTCAGTACACGTATGAAAATCGCTACACAGTTTTCAAAAGATCGAAACACATATTCACAAACCTTGTATTGATATTCCAGAAATTCCTGTTACAGTAAACAAAACTAGCCCTCCTCTACACCTTTTAAAATATCCAGGCCGACAGAGGACCAATACCGGTTTGCAGCCAGTAAGTCTTTTATCCTGCAAGGTGAAACACGCATGTGCAGGAAAGAATAATAATAAACAAAAAAAATTGCAAGAGTTAATAATATAGATTAATGACCAAAAGGAAACACTGTTAAAGGAGAAAACCGGTCTTTTTCCAAAGATTACGGCACTGCATACAGCGGTAGTGTAGTACACATTTCTTGATACTTGAACGATCCAGCTAACATAAACACGAAAAATTTTTTAAAGACTGAGAAGAATGAAGTTAAGCATTTCTAGTAAAAATTCCTACTTAAACTACCATCCGTCCTGCTTTTGATGAGGGATTTATGGTTAGTTTATTATCCATGTTTATTCTTGTAGATGAATACTTATGAATCTTTCTCATTTGTCAGAGAAACAAAGAAGTGAAGATATTTAACCAGAGATTGTTCCAGAGAGTGTTCTTCGTTTACCAGAGACTGTTCTTCGTGCGTGGGAAAGAAGTCGCTCGATAGAAGATACTGCGTCACAGCAAGATAGGGCGCGTTCTTTGGATAAACTTTTGTGCTTTCTTCGAAATGAAGTGCAAAGTGAGGTAATGATTAAGCTCGCTTCGGGTTGGGAGCTTCAAGTTCTGCACATTCGCGTCCACATGCTAATGATCCGGATTGCTCTACAGCTGATGCCTTGGTAAATGTTAAAGACAGTACAGGTAGGCGAAATTTACGTTGTATTTTTGTTAGAAATTCCACAGTTCTGCCGAATGTTTTTCTGCTCTTAGAATGTCTTTAGAAGATAAACGAAAGCTTTTGGTGCAAAAGCGTGTCTGTTTTCGCTGCCTACAAGTTAGACATAGTTCACGGACATGGAAAAGTAAAGTAAAATGTTTAACTTGTGATAAATTTCATTATACCATTATGTGCTCAAATAGCGAACCTGTAAAGCCAAATGAAACTGACAGTATTGTTATTTCAAGTAAAGTAATGTATTGTCTAATCAGTCAACTGTTAATGAAAATGTGTATTTGCAAACACTTGTTTTAAAATTAGTATTCGAAGGTAGACAACTTACAGTTCGTACGATTTTGGACAGTGGTCCTCAGAAATCTTATCTTTGACAAATCGTCATCGCGTTTTTGCAACTGCGCCCTAAATCGAAACAAACCATTATACACGGTTTGTTTGGGGGGGGAGAGAAGTCCTCATTCCCATTTAGTGTTTGATGTTAATTTAAGAAATTTTGAGGGAACGTATGACCATAACTTTGAAGTACTTTCTCAAAACAAAATATGTGGATGTGTTCCAAAAGTAGTTGATCCCAATTCCCTAAAAGAATTAAAAGAAAGAAATATCCCCTTGTCTGATTTGCAAACTAAAGAATATGACATTGAATTGCTTTTAGGAGCAGATGCCATCGGGGACATTATTACTGGTAGCTCCCTGAAACTGAACTTGGGTGTAACTGTAGTTGAGACTAAATTCGGATACACTGTGATTTGTAAAGTAAACAGCTTATCTAAAGAACCTGCTTGAGCTACTATTCCAGCATTACTAGAAAATAATTTGTGCAATAATGTAGTTTCGTTGCATTGTGCTAATCTTAGCGTAACCGAACTCTGGAATTTAAATGACATTGGCATAACAGACCCAAATGAAGATGTTAAACGTAAACTTGCTCACTCTGACACCGTTAAGCAATTTAAAGAGAAATTAAATGTTCTTCCTGATGGGCGATATGAATTGCCACTACCATTTAAATCTGAAATTCTGTTACTTAACAATAAGTCTTTGACTTTTAAAAGGCATCAAAAGAATGTGTCAACGAATTAATGAGGAAAATCAGTTAGATAACTATAAGGTAGTTTTTAAGCTATGGGAAGATCTCAAAGTAATAGAAAAGGTTCCTGAAACTTAAATTGATAATTTGAGTTATTATTTGCCCCATAGACCTGTTATAAAGCATACTAGCCAGGCAATGAAGGTAAGGCCGGTGATCGATGCTTCAGCCCGAGAGAGAAATCAACCGCCCCTAAATGATTGTTTAAATAGAGGGCCGAATTGAACTCATACGTGATATAATTGACAGGTTTAGATTGTATCTGTTGTTTTATCATAGGACATAGAAAAAGCATTTCTTCAGCTGAGTATTATCCCAGAACACCAAGATTGAGGTTTTTTTCTTATAACTCTAGAAAAAACTATGATTTACAGACACTGCAGAGTGGTGTTCGGCGTTTGTTCGTCTCCGTTCCAAACTCTCTGCATCGATAGAGCATCTCTTGGATAATTCCCCTGCCGAATTTGACGATGTGACCCAAAAATTAAAGCATTCGTTTTATGTTGACAATTGTGTCACTGGGGTTCACGATATCAAACAGCAAGAAAATTTTATAGTTAAGGCTACAGAAGCAATGGCTCAGGGATGTTTTAACCTACGGGGTTGGGAAAGTAATGTTCCAAGGTCATTGTATTTCCCGTAGTTCCAGGTATAACTTCTTCTTCTTGGAATCTTATGGGATTTGGATAACGGATACATTAAAATGTAATCTTAATTATTCAATGGATAATGAGGTATAAGTAAACGTAATATTTTGGCTATAGTACATAAAATGTTTGATCCGCAGGGTTTTTTGAGTCCAACTACCTTATTACCTAAGTTACTATTACAGGATGCTTGGACTATGAAATTAAAATGGGCCAGACAACTATGAAATTAAAATGCTTGGACTATGAAATTAAAATGAGCCCCTTGCCAGACAACATTCAGAAAACTTTTCAGAAGTAGCAGGATGAAATTAAATATCTTGAGAAAATTAGTATTCCACGATATGTAGAGATAAATGAGAAGTCAGAGCTACATCTATTCGTTGATGCATCAAAGAGCTCCTATGGTGCATGTGTCTACATTAGAACTGTAATGCCCATGGGAGTCAAAATTCGATTGATCAGAGCCAAATCCAGGGTAGCACCGTTAAAATATCTGACAATACCCTGGTTAGAATTGATATCCTGTTGCATTGGCTCGAGACTGGTACACTCAGTATACGCCGCTTTAGATTTGCCTGATTTGAAAATTATTGCATGGAGTGATTATATGGTAGCACTCTGGTGGATTAAGAACCGTGGTGATAGGTCAGAGTTCGTTGCGAATAGAGTAAAAGAAATAAACAGTCTGATTCCTTCTCAGTATTGGCACCATGTTCCAGGTGATTTAAACCCGGCAGATATGCTTTCAAGAGGCAGTTCTCCTCGTTCATTTTCCGATTCTCTTTGGTGGGAGGGTCCGTCCTGGCTCCCTGGAACCTAATAACAACTGGCCACCAGACCGTTTGGCTTACGAGACCTCTGAGGTAGAACAAGAAAAAAGGAAGGTCAGGTTGTGTAACCTTAATTCAGTTGAAGAGGAAATACCTTGGTATGCAATTAGGTTTTCGAATTTTCAATTCACCATTCGATTAATCGCAGGGATATTGCGGTTTGTGAAAAACGCAAAAAGTAAACGTGCGTTTCGAGAGACGTTCATGAGATGGAATATGCCGAAAAAACTATTATAAAAATTGTACAAAATAAGTATTTTCCCTCCGCCGACTTTACTCCCAATATGAGTGTCATTTCAGATAGAGAGGGTATAAAAAGGATGATAACGCGCATTACAGAGCGATCAGACGACCCTGAATTTATCTGTCAATTATTTTACCAGTCCGGTGCATTTTCACTCAGCGTCTGATAGAATATTACGAGTATCATTTACAAAATTGTCACGCTGGAACCCAAATATTACTCGGAGTATTAAGGGAGCGATTTTGGATAGTGAGGGACAGAAGAGCGGTCAGGAAAGTCGTAAGAAATTGTGTAAGATGCAATCGATACAAGGCCAAGTCTCCCGGATTGCGAGCCGGTGTTTCCCTACCAGGCGATCGTGTCAATGACTCTGCGGTGTTCGAGGTGGTAGGGGGTTGATTTGGCAGGACTCTTGTAACATGTGAAAGGAGGTGGAAAAAAGTTTGGATTGTTTTGTTCACATGTTGCAATATATAGAGTCTATTCATTCGTAATTGACTTCCTCATTGTCTACCGACGCATTCTTGTTGTCGTTGAAACGATTCGTAGCCAGAAACGGGAGGCCGAGAATAATTTATTCCGACAAAGGAACTAATTTCAGAGGAACGCAAAGAGAACTTAGTAACATTGGGAAATGGGAAAAAATTTCAGTCAAACTGCTATATAACGCATAATATGGAAGGTTTAATCCTCCCACAGCCGCTTGGTGGGAGAGGTTAGTTCGTGTAGTAAAGGAACTGTTGAGAAGGACACTCGGTAACGCGGTTCTTACAACCGAGGAGTTGTACACAGTATTGTGTGACTGCGAGTCAGTAATTAACTCTAGACCTCTTACCTATCTGTCTGAAAATCCGGATGATTTAATCCCACTTTCCCCAGCCATGTTTCTCATCGAGAATCGTAGCTTAGGTGTTCCCGATGTTGATTTCTGCGATTCGAAAGGTCTTCGAAAAAGGGCTAGACATCGCCAAAAACTACTTAATGATTTAAGGCATAGATTTAGGAAAGCATATTTAGGCATTCTGGTCCAAAATAAGAAGGGTTCATCGTCAGAGCTAAGGTTGGGTGAAATTGTCCTAATAGGAGATGACATCCAAAAAAAAAAAAAAAAAAGGATGCATTGGCCTTAAGCTAAGATCATTCGACTAATTCCTGGGAAAGAGGGTAATGCGAGAACTGTAGAACTAAAGACTGAAGCTGGTACGCTGCTTCGTCCTATTCAGGGAGTCTTTCCATTGGAAGTGCAGTTAACGGACACCTCCACTGATCCCATACACGATAACTCTTTTACTAATCCTATTTCTTCTATTTCTAGTGATGAGCATTCAGATTCTAATGAGTCTTCAAATGACTCTAGTAACATCCTGCAAGCTGCTAAAGTGTCAAGATTTAGACGTGTGATCAAGGTGCCTCAGAGATAAGATTTCTTCGACGAGGTACTGTATGTCTTTGAGCCATCCTGAAGTC